ACACACACACACACACACACACACACCAGCTCTGGGCCCAGCTGTGACTCTTTTGCGGCCACAGGCAAGTCTATTGACTTCTCTGTGTTTCTCGGTCTACTCATATGTATAATGGGGATCAGTCCTACTTGCCGTATATTTGTCACAGGAATGAAACTTACATGGAAGAGAGGTGAAAGTATTATTTAAGCACAAACCAATGATGGGTTTCCATAGTTCATGTTTTCAGTTAACTGTGGTCTGGACCCTAGAGCAGAGTTCAGCAACCAGCAACCATCCTCATATGCTCTGCAAACAGGTCTTGCCCCAGAGTACCAGTTAGCTGACTAGGACAGCTCTGAGGGCCTCCTGCGGTGAAACCTCAGCCTCCTCTGCTTTCCTTATGGGACAGGAAATGCAGTGGCTAGAGCCTGGGGCTCTATCCGGTGGCCTGAGGCCACTTAGAGATTTGCGGAAGGTATTCCTGTACAAGGTATTGGGTGGTGGTGTGGGGGGCGGGGGAGGGGAGACATTAGTCAGGACCTAGTCATTAAGAAGAGATAGGGCGGGCTCAGTGCCTCACACCAGTAATCCCGGCACTTTGGGAGGCTGAGGTGGGCGGATCACTTGAGGTCAGGAGTTCGAGACCAGCCTGGCCAACATGGTGAAACCCCGTCTCTACTGAAAATACAAAAATTAGCTGGGCATGGTGGCAAGTGCCTGTAATCCCACCTACTTGGGAGGCTGAGGCAGGAGAATCGCTTGAAGTTGGAAGATGGAGGTGGCAGTGAGCCAAGATCGCGCCACTGCACTCCAGCCTGGGTGAAAGACTGAAACTCCATCTCAAAAAAAAAAAAGAGATAAAATGTATTTTTGTGGTTGTTGATCATTATTTTGCTGGCTAATGCCACTGCTGCCATCATGTGGGAGTGTGTGTGGAGTGTATTAGAAAGCATGTTCCCTGGAGCCAATGCAATAAGACCTTAAGACCATCTAACATAGCTAAATTCTAATTTAGCCATTAGTCCTCATGACTTAATTTTCTTCTGACTATTTTTTTCTTTTTTTTTCTTTTTTTTTGGTACATTAATCTATCCATTCATTAACTCAGCTTCTCTTTTCATTTTCAGTTTGGGCTTCCTGTAGACACCCTTTTCCTGCGCAACAGAGCTGGGCCTCCCTTTCTCTAACTTCCCCCTTAACATGCCTGGGGGGCATACAGTCCAACCCAGGCCCTCTCCTCTCTTCCTGCCAAGGTTTATAGAAACCTGAGAATCTGAGGGCGATGTCTGGCCGCTGGTCAAGAAGCCAACAGTCATGTGGCTCGCAGATGCATCCTGCATCCCAGTCCCCCTCCCAGCACCCCCAGCCATCCCCCCTGTCTTCCCCCACATCTTTGCCAGAGGTGTGACATGGTCAGGGGGCCCATCTGCTACTCTTCCCCAGCAGCTCCCCCGTTCCAGTTCTGGTTGCTGTTAGTTTTCCCTGAGGTATTTGCATCCACCATGGCTGGGTAAGCACCAATAAGCACAGCTGCCCCCTTGGTCTCCTGTATCCCAGTCACTAGTCTTCCCTGGCCCACCCCACCCTCATCCTCAGGAGCTGCAGCCACTTCTTAGAGAGTTTCAAAAGGAGAGCCTTTGGCGCCTTTTCCGTCTAACCTTTGAGTCCAGCCCTTTCCAGTTTTCATTCACTCGAAGTAACTGCACTCAAGCTGTGCTCAAAATCTGTAACGCATTTATTTACACCAAGCCCTTCCCATAAAACACAACTGCTGGAGAAAATAGCAGACGTTTCCCCTCTCTCTAACTCTGGGTATCCCACAGATGCAAAAGGGAGAATAAACTTACATATTATTACCAGCCTAGAGTCTTGAATGATAGCCTTACTGAGTTCTTCTTGTGAGGTATTTCAGCATCGCAGGGGTAATTTCCGGAAGGGCTCCACACTGTCCCAATAGGGTGAGGCCAGTAGCAGGAATAATAAATCCCACTTTGTAGACTGGAAAACTGAGCTGTCAAAAGAATCAGGTGTTTGGGGGTTTGCTCTGATGAGTCTTGTAGTTCATTTGGTGAACGTCGTGATGATTTTTAACGTGCATTTTGCATGCATCCCTCGATAAGAAGAGATGAGACTATCGGCTGGAGAGAAGAAAAGAGGTGTTACACCTTGGAAGGCCCTTAACTTGCTTTCCAATTTAAGGAGTTGAGAGTTTAAAAATATTCCAGCCCTAGTTTTTATCATGGGTCCCATCTGATAGTGGCTTTGGGAACCTCTGTGGAGTAGAGAGCCCTCCCTTGTTAGGGTTATGAGGCACAGTGGCCTTTGGTGTTTGGCCAGTGACAGTGTGAGAGATGGAGTTGACCTGGCAATGATCTGTGGCTAACGTGCCGTCTCTCTGCCCTTCCTTTGCAGTAATCCATGGCTGTGTACTGAATAGTATTCCCCGCTACAGCTGGACTGGACTCCATTTAGCCTTTTAAGCCGAGGTTTCTCTTTTAACTGACAGCTTTCCTTTGGGGTGCCAGGCAGCCAGGCCCCCCACCCCTACCCTGCCATGTACTTCAAGCTCACTTCTTTTTGAGTTCCGCAACTTGCTCCTGCCTCCCAGCCCCACTGGCACTGACCATGACCACCTTCTATTTTTTTTTTTTTTTTTTAGAGTTTCTTTTTTTGATCACTTACTTTCAAAGCACACAGTCAAACAAGGTTATGCCAAATTTCCAGGCCTTTTTGAAGTATTGAGAAGGGGAAGGGGATTTCTCGCTTCGATTATAGATCATAGTAGGAAGCAAAAAGAAAAAAATGAAAAGCAAACATATGCACGTACTTCCTTTTTTTTTGTTGGCAAAGCAAGAGTGTAGGTTTGCTGTGTACCGTCTGGCGCTGTACTGATTGGTGAGTGACCAGAGCAAGTATAAAGGTGATGCTGCCAAAGCACAAGCCAGTTTCTTGGGAAAATTCAAGTTACAGTGGAGTATTGTTTTGAAGACCATATGCTTGGAGGTAGAAACAAACCAACAACCAAAAAAAAAAAAAAAAAAAAAAAAATCTGCTCAGATACTCAGCCAGTAGCTCAGAGAGATGCTGAGTTAGGCCTGTCAGGTCTCCCTGGGAAAGGCTTCGTATTTGCAACTTTGATGATTCTATGTCCAGCTTCAGAGCTGCTTTCCCAGAAATTCACGCTTAAAAAACCAACTGGTAATCACCACCCCCGACCCCGCCGCCCGGTAATTATTTGCATTACAAACCGGAGGCGCCCTCATTTGCATTTCTGTACAGATTAACTACTTAAGGCTTGAGAAGCTCTGAATACTTCGAAAGTATTAGACCCACACAGCCTTGGAGAGACCTTCAGAAACTAAAGAGGAGTTTTATATTAAGGGAGACATTTTAGTCAGTAAGACGATATAACCTAGTTACTCCGTAAGGGCAAATGAAGGCCCAGAGAAGGGAAGGGACTTGAGCAAGGTCCCAGTGCTGTTTCCAGGCAGAAGCCAGACTAATTTTCATGCCTCCTGACTCCCAATCCATTTCACAAAGGGATTCAATCTGTTTATATACGTTCCTGGATACGAGGCCTTTTGATGTTCAGAGTAACTGAAATAGTTAGTATTAGAAGACCCTCGAGGTTTTTTCCCACAGAAAAACATCTGAAGATGGATTGGGTGAGGGCTGGCAAAATGAAGGCATGCTGGGCCAGCTCCTTAACCCAGTGATGCTGCAAGGCTGGAACGGGGTCCAGGAGACTGTGTGTAACAGGTGCCCTAGGTGACCATTATAATCAGGGAAGTTTGGTAAACAAAAATCAAACCCATGAGTGAACATAAAAAGTTGATCAAGCCCATTAAAATGGGTATTTCATTGGGTGGCTTTATTCACTGTAGACAGAAAGATTTTTTCCTTCTTCAATGAAAAGGTGTTTTAATTAGTACAACTAGGCCGGGCGCGGTGGCTCAAGCCTGTAATCCCAGCACTTTGGGAGGCCGAGACGGGCGGATCACGAGGTCAGGAGATCGAGACCATTCTGGCTAACACAGTGAAACCCCGTCTCTACTAAAAAAATACAAAAAAACTAGCCAGGTGAGGTGGTGGGCGCCTGTAATCCCAGCTACTCGGGAGGCTGAGGCAGGAGGAAGGCGTAAACCCAGGAGGTGGAGCTTGCAGTGAGCTGAGATCCGGCCACTGCACTCCAGCCTGAGCGACAGAGCGAGACTCCGTCTCAACAACAACAACAAAAAATTAGTACAACTGTTACTATTAAAAAAAAATACCCTAAGTACTCTGTTTACTTCTGGTAAAACAAAACCAGTCATTAGCAATGGTCTGTGCTTTTATTTTCCCAGACTGGAGTGGCTTTTCTGAAATACACACACACACACACACACACACACACACACACGTACACACATCCCTCACTTCTCCTAAGCCAAGAAGTTTGCTTTCCCTAGCTGCAGTGTAGATGGCTCTTGTTTTTGTTTTTATGTTTTAATCATTTGGCATTCACATGTGGCTGTTAATAATGTGCTTGTTTTTAATTAAAACAAGAAGCTTTAAACTGGTGTGTGGTGTTCTTAAAACCTTCTCAGCGGATTTCCCCGTGGTGATGGCCCAACAGTGACCCCCATTTCTAACCTGTCTTCTCAAACTATAATCTGTGCTACCTCAGTACTGCCCATTCCCCTCCCCCTGTCTTACTTTCAATGTCCTCTTTCTTTGGCTAATCTCATGTTTTCTTTCTCTTTCTCTCTCCCTCTCCAGCTTTTTTTAATCTTGTCTTCAGCAGCTGCACTAAGTCTAAAGGAGAAGACTGCCATTATAGAAGAGTTAGGGTTCCATATTGTCTCAAATCAGAAATCAACCAATTCCCTCTCCCCTCAAACTGCAAGCACACGCACATACGCCACACCACCCAACAAGTGTTCATGTGTCCCTGTGTCCAGGCAAGAAGCTCTCTTCCCGACTCACATGGTATTTTAAATGGAAGTGTCTTGTCCTAACTAACAAGGCAGGAAAAGAACCATCAGAGCTGGAAAATGGACCAAATGTAACCTCAGAGAAACAACTACAGGACCACTCACCCAAGTGTAAGTGACTGGGGCAGGACACTTCAGCTGTGGGTGTGGAAGTACTGTTCTGTTCACAAGGTTTTGTTTGCGTTTTGTGTTTTTCTTTTAAACATTTCTCTGGTTCGATGGGTTGACTGTCTACGGCCACTGTTAAAACATTTCTGAATATGGAAGAGAAAGTCAAGTGACATTTTTATCTTCTTCAGCATTCACAGACCTTCTATAGATTCCAGCAAAGGGGAAAAATGTGTCCACTGTCTAACACTCAGGTGGAGAAGGGAGAGAAGGGAGAGAAGAGAGGGGGTTTAAGCTTAGTGAGGGCAAAATTACTCCATTCCACCTTCTGAGACCAGTTGGGGTTTTGAGAGAGGTTTCTGCTCAACCTGGGATCTGGAGGGAGAGCTTTGATGTTGGTCAATCTGCCTTGAATTCATTGGTTTAACTTGCATCAAAATACCATGTGAGTGTGCTCATTCTCATAGATCCCTACCATCATCACCACCATTCTGCTGTTCAGTGTCTCTTGAGAGAGCCTCTTTGCATGTTTTCCAGAATCTGTGTGTGTTTTTCCTTTCTTCTCCTTTGTTCTTTTTGCTCAAAGGTGTGACCAGTCACTGCCCCTCTGGGGCTTTCATTCTCCAGGAGAAACATCCCAGAACCAGCACTGTTTAGCTTACTACCTTTCTAATGTCCATGTCAATTTTCAATAAAAAGAAATGCTGAATGGCTGTGTGGTCTGATCTTAAGTCACTGGGTGATGCGGCCCACCACGGTTTGCCTGAGGAGGAGTGGGTGGCTGCCTTCCGAATGGGTGATTTGAAGGGCTCAGGGAGGCACCGTCAGCCTATGAAATCTTCCTAGGTGGGTTGCCATCCCCTGTGCCCGCCCCCTCCAACTTTCTTCCATCTGGGCCTGAAATTCCCACCACCTGGGGTGGAGGTGTGCAGGAAGTCCTCTACTTTTTCTTTATTAGCATGGATTTAACTAAGTTGAGCTGACTATCATCTAGTATATTAGATGGAGAAAGTAGAGTGCCAGAGCCTACGGAACAAGATTCAGGTGAGTTTTAATTCTGGCAGGAAAAGAACTTTGCACCACGTGTCTTCTCTCATTTACTCCTGTGATGTGAGCATCCCCCCAAATTCATGGATATGACTATTCTTCATCACTCAAAAAGCATTCTATAGATACTAAGGAGTATTTTGTGTCCTGGGTCTACTAGAGAGCGGAGCCTCCCATCCTCCCAAGCATTAAAGTGGGCAAGAGAGAGAGTTGTCACTTTAAAGAACTCTGGTGGCCCTTAGGAAAACAAACTTTCCTCAACTTTGCTTGCCTAAGGGCCAGGGTGTGGACATCAGGGCACGCATCCTTTCCTTACGGAGGCCTGGAGGCTTCAGAAAGTATCCACGTATATAGGCCTGGCTCTGCGTATATAGGCCTGGCTCTGTGCAGCTCACACACTAGGGGACAACCGAGTGAGACAATACGTCTGTGACGTTTGTGATGTCACTGAGCAGAGGCAGGCACTGAGGTGTTATGGAAAATTACAAGCCCTGGAGCCCTACAGACTTGCGAGCTGTGGGCAAGACGGGCAGATCACCTGAGGTCAGGAGTTCGAAACCAGCCTGACCGACCTAGAGAAACCCCGTCTCCACTAAAAATACAAAATTAGCTGGGTGTGGTAGTGCATGCCGGTAATCCCAGCTACTTCGGAGGATGAGGCAGGAGAATCGCTTGAACCCGGGAGGCGGAGGTTGCCGTGAGCTGAAATCGCGCCATTGCACTCCAGCCTGGGCGACAGAGTGAGACTCCGTCTCAAAAATAAATAAATAAAATAAAAATTTAATAAAACGTCTCCGGAAAAGGAGGACATCAGTGATTGCCTTGCCATGGTCATTGTGAAGGCTTCCTGAGCTAATGTAAGTTAAAGACCTGGGCGTTCAGTCAATGGGCTCCCTTGTTAAGGACTGAGTTTTCCCTGTACTAGAAAGTACTCATCTGGCAGGGCGTGGTGGCTCACGCCTGTAATCCTAGCGCTTTGGAAGGCCGAGGCGGGTGGATCACTTGAGGCCAGGAGTTCGAGACCAGCCTGGCCAACATGGCGAAACCCTGTCTCTACTAAAAATACAAAAATTAGCCAGGGGTGGTGGCACATACCTGTAATCCCAGCTGCTGGGGAAGCTGGGGCAGGAGAATTGCTTGAACCTGGAAGGCGGAGGTTGCAGTGAGCCGAGATCGTGCCATTGCACTCCAACCTGGGCAACAGAGCAAAACTCTGTCTCAAAAAGAAAAAAAAAAAAAAAGAAAATACTCACCTTAGAGTCCTATAATCCAGAGTTTCTCAACCACGGTACTATGGACATTTGGGACCAGACATCTGGAGAGCTGTCATGTGCATTAAAGAATATTTAGGGTTGGGCGCGGTGGCTCACGCTTGTAATCCCAGCACTTTGGGAGGCTGAGGTGGGTGGATCAC